TTAGGATACGCTATAGGTTAACATCATCCCTGGAGAACTGTCTGTTTACCATCTGGCACGTATCCGGAGACCATCTTGTTTTTAAATTGAGTACAACTGTTATTAATGTTTTTATTGTTTTTATCTGCCCCTTGTAAGCCGCCCTGAGCCCGCTCCGCGGGGAGGACGGGGTAAATATCTCAATTAAAAAAAATAAACAAACAGTAAAACATTAAAGACTAACAAAACTTGTGACATGGTATGAGCTTTTGTGAGTCACTGCTCACTTCTTCAGTATCTGAAGAAGTGAGCAGTGACTCACAAAGGCTCATACCCTGCCACAAATTTTGTTAGTCTTTAAGGTGTTACTGAACTCTTGCACCCTTATAATGTCCTTTGGTAATTTTTTTATGTTTTAGATGGATATGACAGTGGGAACCTTTGTTCCGAGTGTTGGGGTATTTAAAAAATGATAAAAAATAATTTTAAAATCTTTGAATATAAAGGCAGACTTGACCTTTGGGATGAGGCAGTGATTATTTAAATTGTTTCTGGGAGCAGGCAGTGAATACTTCATCTCCCTGTGTATGGGAAAGACATTTTCTCTTGACTGAGCACTTACTCTCCTTGTTGCTGTTGTTTTCAGAGTGGCCATGTCTTAGAGCGGAATATGTCCACTGGAAGCACAGACCCTTTGACGGGCAAACAGTTGCTAGAGAATGAGCCTGCCACTATAACTAAAGTAAGTAAGGTAATAAAGTCTGCATTGGCGTTTGATGCACAGAAGCTATTATAGCGACGGACAGTTCTGATGACTGCATCTCCTGTGGGTGGATCAACATGCATTGGGCTTGGTGCTGGTTAGCCACCTGGCAAAGAGCATAGCTCAGTCCCAAGCGTCAAACCCTGAGATCCTCCCATGAAAGGGTCTCAGAGGGTGCTGGGAGAAAACTTTCTCTGCCATTGATGCTGGAGAGTGCTGGCAGAATAGACGATTCTGAGCTAGGTGGACCAGCTTCACTTACTCACTTATAGAAGCCAGGCATGGTGTGGTGGTCAGAGTGTCAGACTGGGGTCTGGGAGGTTCAGTTTCAAATTTCTGCTCTGCCATGGGTGACCTTGGGCTAGTCACACCTAGAGATGTGAAGGCCCAGGAAAAAACCGGAAAATTCGGGGGGAAAACATTTTTCCCCCCATTTTTTCCTGAAGCCTTTTTGTTTTTTCCGAAAAATGGGAAAAATTGAAAAAAGAAAAGAAAAGAAAAAAAATTGATTATGGAACGTTTTATTTTAACATGATGAATAAAATATTTTCCAAATCATTTCTAGAATATATATATATATGGTATCAGATTGATATAATTTCTGTGCACTGAGGCCAAGCAAGTCCTAGGTTACAAACTGAACTCTCCAATGCAAGAACACGATGCATTTCTTCCTTTAGGAGGTGCGATTGTCAGAAGAAAATAAAAAGTTTCAGTTTTGTTTTTGCATGTGGGTGGGTATTCTGTAATAATTGTTTGGATACACTATATTTTTAATATGCTAGTTGTGATAATTTCATGCCAAGTAAAAATGTCCATAGTCATATTTTATGTTCCTAAAGTAACAGAATGACTTTCAAACTAGAAAAGACAAAAGAAATGCTAATGTAGCATTTTTTTCAATTTTTCCAAAAATTTCCGTTTCCCCCCGAAAAAAACCGGGGGGAAAAACGGGTTTTTTCCCGAGTTTCAAAATTTCCGGAAATTTTACATCTCTAGTCACACCACTCTCAGCCTCACCCGCTTTAAAGTCCTGCCACTGGATTACTGGAATAAGATCACTCTCATTTACTGCTGATTCTAATTATATAAACAGACTTGCATTTAAATGGGGCTAATCCCATTACTGGGTCTGACAACTCAATTGGATGGTACAATTCACTAGCACTCGCGGGACAATCCTAGGTAGCTATTCCATTCTAACGGCATTGATTTAAATCGATGAGAATAACTCTGCCTAGGATTGCATAGGCAGTTTCAGAAACAGATATAGTCGAAGCCTACTTGGAAGCCACGCTTTCTGCTCAGAAAGTCCTTTAGCTCTATCCTGAAATGTTTGACATTTGACTGCGATTAGTGTAGAAATTGTACTACCGTAAGCAGAGCCCTGCTGGATTGGACTCTTTGATTTAACCAGTGGGAACATCTGTGAGCCCTCTTTTCTTCACATATAATAATAGTAGGAGAAGCAGAACTTGGACTCTGTTGTACTTCTCTTCTACCACTGGGAGCCCTGACAGTGAAAAAAATGTCCCAGGGCTAAACTTTGCAGAGTTCTTTGGCTAATCCTTGTTGTGGAAATGTTAGGACATAGATGCAAAGAAGTCATTGGAGTTTGCTGCATCCTCTGGCCTTATTTGGTTTTAAGAGACCTGCTCTGAGGGGGCAAGGTGACATTGCACAAATCTTGGACCATTCAGTCTGCTTCAATAACTGTACCCTTTCTATTTACATAGTTTGTTCACACTTAAAGTGGTTCTTAATTAGGATGCTTTGAGGGAGGATGTGCAGGCATCACTATTAGTCTCATAGCTACACATCACTCATGTATAGGGCTGCTCATGAGAATCAGCCCCCACCTGGGGAGTGTACATGTAACCAGTGCTCCCTCTAAGCTGAGTTAGTGTGAGCTAGCTCACAGTTTTTTACCCTCCATCTGACACGTTTTTATCTTAGCTCACAAAGGATGGCTTTAGAACAAACTAAGTTATGCAGTATCCAAATCGCTCGCTCACAACTTTAATGCCAGTAGCTCACAAAGTAGAGTTTTTGCTCACAAGACTCCACGGCTTAGAGGGAGCATTGCATGTAACCACTGTGATTTGCCTGCCTGTAAACGCCTTCCCCCCGACTGCTGAGATTGTGTACATGGTGGTGGCTGCATTACGGCCTCCATGTGGCCTTAGTTAAGAACCAATGATTGTGTGTAAGCCGCTCAGACCCCCTTCGGGGTTCGAGCAGGATATAAATTGAATGATAAATAAATAAAATAAATAAAATATGGATGTGCCAGGCCTCTGCCTGACCACTGCTCAGCCAAAAGCTTACCATCAGGGCCTGCGTAACTTCCAGGCTGCAAATGCCAGTTTCTTAGGGCTTTGGATCAAGCTTTTAGGCTTCCCTTTTCATAGACTTTAGAATAAAGTAAATCCCAGTGGTGCAAGTGGTGCTTTTTCCAGCAGAAGTCTTTGACAACGGGCTTCTTGCCTTGGAATTTTGAAAATCATTTTATGGATGCAGCTAAAAATAACAGGCCCATATTAAGTTCTCTGCCATAGCGTTTAGAAACCCATATTAAGATTTCCCTGCTCTGGTCCATATCATTGGCTGGCAGGGATGAAAAAATGGGCAACATAATAAAATCAGAGCACTGGCTGAATGGTGAATGTTCCTCAGTGTTACAGTGAATGCAACTCCATGTTGCCTGGAGCGATTAGGTTCTGTGTGAAATGGCTTAAAAAAATAGAACAAGTCTTAGTTTTAGGATGTCTCCTTAATTTAATGTTTAGGAAGAAATTAAACTTTTTAATCCCAAACAAACATTTTCATCTGAATACTGTGAATGGTTACTCAGAAGTAATCCCAGTTGAGTGCATATTCCCAAATACGTACCTCGGATAGCAGTTTTAATTAAAAAAAAATGTTTTATGATATGAGCAATTTAGGCTAATATTGAAGTTATGGATTTGATTGGCGGCTTTTTTTATCCTTCAGGAACCAGACAGCTGGGAGATCATCGAGGGCCTGAAAATTGGCCAGACGAATGTCCAGAAGCCAGACAAACATGAGGGATTCATGCTGAAGAAAAGGAAATGGCCTTTGAAAGGCTGGCACAAGGTAAAAATGTCTATGAAACACTCACATGAACATTACTTTAGGTTAAAAGGAAGGGGTCGTTATCCTTTGAGGCAAATCAGTTTGCTCTTCAGATCCCCCACCGCCCCCCATTTCATGATCGGTTTTTATGGCCCATGCAATCCCCAATTAGTTTATTGTATTATCTGTATGAGATTTTCCTGATAGATGCACCACAATAAAATATGTTTCCTGTCAGGAACAATGAATTCCTTCTCTGTAACGCTTGCTTATCAGCAGGGGGTCATTACTTCCATTCTTCTAGTCCCTGATTTAAGGGAAGCCTTTTCCAGCAGCCGTACATTAATGGAGAACAAAGTGCATTCAAATACAGAGTGCTGTGAGATAATACAAAACGAATACAGGAATACTAAGTATTTTTGTTGTTGTTGTTCAGTCGCGCAGTCGAGTCCGACTCTTTGCGACCCCATGGACCACATCACGCCAGGCCCTCCTGTCTTCTGCCATCCTCCGAAGTCTGCTTAATTTCATGTTTGTTGCATCGATTACACTGTCTAACCATCTCATCCTTTGCCGTCCCCTTCTTCTTTGACCTTCAATTGCATAGTAAATACAGAAATGCTAAAGTGCAGGTACATTTGTTGCAATTGTTTGATGCATTGTATTTGGGGAGCTCAGTCAGATATGTTGCCTTTAGCCACAAAGATTTTGTCCAAAGTAGTATCGATTACTGGCAGAACCACCTCCAGTGACCCATATGATGCCGTGAAAGAGGACCAGAAGAGATCCTATCCTCCCCCCCGCCCATTTCAGTGCTGACCATTAGTTAATGGTTAAATACATTTTCTGGCTGGCTAGTATTTAATGGTTGGATACATTTTCTGGAATGACTGCTGGCTAGGACTAGGCTACCAGCTAGTCCGTGGCACAAGAGTTTAAACTTTTATTTCTCCGTCTGTGAGCCCCTGCAATCACAGAATGACTTGTAGCATTGGAATGGTAGGAAAGTATGCCAACCTAGCATGGCTCTAGTTGACACAAGAACTTTTTCGGAACTTTAATGTAAAAGAGATCAAAGGGCTCACAATGGCTATAGTGGGACCTCAGTAAGGGAGGGCTGTCATTCTGCTCTTGTTTTGAAAGCTGATGTTATAGATTTTGAGTTTGGTAGAAGTAGTGCTCTCTGAAAGCTGTCTGTATGATGAAGTTAGTTGTCTGTCTGTCTGTCTGTCTATCTATCTATCTTATCTTATCTTATCTTATCTTGTCTGTCTGTCTGTCTGTCTGTCTGTCTGTCTGTCTGTCTGTCTGTCTGTCTGTCTGTCTGTCTGTCTGTCTGTCTGTCTGTCTGTCTGTCTGTCTGTCTGTCTGTCTGTCTGTCTGTCTGTCTGTCTGTCTGTCTGTCTGTCTGTCTGTCTGTCTGTCTGTCTGTCTGTCTGTCTGTCTGTCTGTCTGTCTGTCTGTCTGTCTGTCTGTCTGTCTGTCTGTCTGTCTGTCTGTCTGTCTGTCTGTCTGTCTGTCTGTCTGTCTGTCTGTCTGTCTGTCTGTCTGTCTGTCTGTCTGTCTGTCTGTCTGTCTGTCTGTCTGTCTGTCTGTCTGTCTGTCTGTCTGTCTGTCTGTCTGTCTGTCTGTCTGTCTGTCTGTCTGTCTATCTATCTATCTATCTATCTATCTATTATCTATCTATCTATCATCTATATACTATCTATCATCTATCTACTATCTATCATCTATCTATCTATCATCTATCTATCTATCATCTATCTAATCTATCTATCTATCTAATCTATCTATCTATCTAATCTATCTATCTAATCTATCATCTATCTATCTCTTCTGTTCTTCTGCTCCACTGGTTGTCATCCCACACAAGTCTGTGTTGAGTCTGATGAAGGATTTGTCTGTATCTTCAATCTCATTGTGCAGTCACAATACAGTGGTCCCTGGTATGAAAGTGAATTCTTATCAGGAAACCCCCCCAGAAGACAGTTTAAACAAGAAAAATCATACACCCCGTGATCAATGGCCAGACAAACTTTTCATATGTAAAGAACTGTCTTTCATGTATAAAGAACTTTCCATATATAAAGAACTGTCTTATATTTAGAATGGGTCTATGCAACCATCTCTAGACGTTGCAAAACAGGGTTTTCCTGCTTCCCCCTCTCATTGTAAACTGCTGAGCCCCTCTGAAATTTTGTACCCCAGGAACAGCAAAGTGAGAGTCTCCAGGAATTCTTATTTAACATCATTTATTCCCAGGAAAGTGTCTGCAGGATTCCAGTCAATGGTACTTCAGAAGAGGTCCCTCTTCTCAAGTGGCATTGCCACTGTCCTGGGAATAAGTGCTGTTGAATAACATGGGAATTGCTTCTGTATACACCTGCTTAGGACTGTTCCCATTAATTCATTACGTCTTTGAAACTGCTTTTATTTAAAATATTTCCATTCCACCTCTGTCCCAAAGGACGTGAGGCACATTACAATGAACTGGGGGTAGATTAAGGTGGGTAACTGTGTTGGTCTGAAGCAATAGAACAAAGTCTGAGTCCAGTGGCACCTTTAAGACCAACAAAGTTTAATTCTGGGTATAAGCATTTGTGCACATGCACACTTTATCAGATTCATCAGGTACCTGATGAAGTGTGCATGCACATGAAAGCTTATATCCAGAATTAAACTTTGTTGGTCTTCAAGGTGCCACTGGACTCAGACTTTGTTCCAATGAACTGAGAGAGAGAGAGAGAGAGAGAGAGAGAGAGAGAGAGAGAGAGAGAGAGAGAATGTATTAAATGCTGCCATTCATTTCACTTCCGATATATGGGCAACCCTATGATTTAATGTTCTCCAAAACATCCAAAACGAGTTCACAATACAAGAACTCGTGGGCACTCCATGAAATTGCTGAGCGGTCGGGTTAGAACGGATACAAGGAAGTACTTCTTCACCCAAAGAGTGATTAACACTTGGAATTCACTGCCACAGGAAGTGGTGGCGGCTACAAGCATGGACGGCTTCAAAAGGGAATTAGATAAGCATATGGAGCAGAGGTCCATCAGTGGCTATTAGCCACAAGGTATAGATAGGGACTCTGGGGCAAGTGATGCTCTGTCATCTTGGTGCTTGGGGGGGGGGGTCAACAGTGGGAGGGCTTCTAATGTCCTGGCCCCACTGGTGGACCTCCTGATGGCACCTGGTATTTCTGGTGACTGTGTGATACAGAGTGTTGGACTGGATGGGCCTTTAGCCTGATCCAACATTGGCATCTCTTATGTTCTTATGCTCTTATCCTGTTGTTAACAGCCTTGCTCAAGTTTTGCAAACTTGTATTCCTTGATTGAGACTATCCGTCTTACTTTTTGTCTTCCTCTTTACCTGCATCCTTCAACTTTTGCTAGCATTATTATCTTTAGGGGGAACCCCCCAAAATACATACATTAAAATTTAAAACATACAAACCAGAATTTAAAACAAACTAAAATACAGATACAACATTGGATACATGCCATTATGAATTATACTAGCCTCAAGTTCTTCATTATAGTTTTTGCACCACTTGCAGTTCTTGTATCTGAAAAGCTTGCAGATCTTATTATGTACCAGGGGTGTCGAACTAATTTGTTATGAGGGCCGGATCTGACATAAATGAGACCTTGTTGGGCTGGGCCATGTGTGTCATAAAATGTAATGCCAGGTAGTGGAGATATAAACTTTATAAAGGACACAAACACAAAGGGTTTTTTTCAACTTAAAATAAAAACATGCTTAAAACATTAGCACTCTTGCAATATTTTCTTTATTTAACAGTGTCTGATAACTGACACCTCTTGCTTTGAATTATTGCATCAAAATGTCTGTGCTGTTGCAATCTTGAGTATGTTGTTCAGATGTGTATCTGTAAGCTGCAAACCTATGATGATGCGGCAGCAGCAGAACTGGAAGAAGAAGCAGAAGACAGGAAGTTCCACTGTGGGCCTGGTAGAAGCCCTCCGGGGGGCCTGATCTGCCCCCCGGGCCGCATGTTTGACACCCGTGAGTTAGACAATTAAGGTGGTTGGCTTGCTTTTTTCTCATATAATGATTAGACAGTCAGAACTACTTCTAGACACATGGTAAAGAAGCCCTGGACATATTCCACCAGGCATTCAACGACATTCACCCCACCATCAACCTGACAATGAACCAGTCTGGACACTACTGTAAAAATACACAGTGGACGCATAGACACCACCTTATACCAGAAACCTACTGATTGACAAACATACCTACATGCCTCCAGCTACCAACTTAAACATACAAAATGATCCATTGTATAGATCTAGGCTCTACACTACAGCCGCATCTGCTCCAGTCCTACAGACAGAGATTCTTACCTGAGGGATCTACAACAAACCTTTTTGGAACTAAAATATCCACCTAATGGAGTCAAGAAACAGATTAACAAAGCCAGAATTGTACCCAGAGAAAGCCTGTTGTAGGACAGGCCCCAGAGAGACAACAACAGAACGCCACTAGTGGTCACATACAGCTCTCAACTCAAAACAGTTCATCAGTGACTTACAACCTCTACTGGACAATGACAGTTCTCTTTCACAAGTACTGGGAGGCAAATCTTTTCTTGTGCACAGACAGCCCCCCCCAATCTCAACTCCTCACCCACAATAATACAACATCTAATTTAAACATGGACACTGGTACCAGAGCTTGCAATTACTCTCAGCATTCTACAATTAAGGATACATCAATCTCCAATTTTGACATATCCCTACACCCCAATTAAACCCAAACAAATGGTAACCATAAGAACTGAGCTTGTTATTCCTGTTTGATCCTTGAATCTGTTAAACATCTTCATTATGCTATATGCTGATTTACTGCTCACCCTCTATCTATATATATGTACTGGTAATTTCCATTTCATTGTATCTGAAGAAGTGTGCATGCAAACAAAAGCTGATACCTTGAATAAAACTCTGTTGGTCTTAAAGGTGCCACTGGACTCAGACTTTGTTCTGCTGCTTCAGACTAACACGGCTACCCACCTGAACAGAACTACTTCCTGATAGGGAAAAGATGTTTAACAGCCTCCATTTCAAATTAAAGGATGGTTTAGGGGCTGAAGAGGGAAAGGACACAGACAAACACTTTGATCCTTCTGCTTCTCAGTCTGCTTTTTATTTTAAAAATAATATTACCATTGATGACAAATGTTGTCTTGTTTTAACTCTAAAGAAATTCCTGTGAACTTGCAGATCTCTCTGTGCTGTTTTATCCTCTTATCTCTTCCACTATACTGATGTCGTTACCACTGAATAAATTCATCATAACCTCTCATGCATTTTGCAAGTCTGGAATTTCAAACAGTGCTAGAGTAACATTTGTTTATATAAAAATTATCCCATGTCTTTGAAGCGGCGAATAATTATCAATAGAACAGAACTACACGCACACTTGATCTTAGCCGAAAGGCCGAGAAGCGATAGAAACAAAACAGTAAGATAGATCAACAATAAAACATCATAACAAACCAATCAAATAATCCAAATAATGCCAGTGCATCTCAAATGAAGTCTTTATGTCTCAACCAATTAAGAAAGCGAGTCAATGAATCACTCAACAATAAACTCTATCAGTCAATAAATAAACATCTGCTGTGAGTTTTAAATAGCTCAAAAGACCTCAGCAGAAAAGATCTTTGTTGTCAGAGGCCTGCTGGAACGAGATTGCCTTACATAGATTTGTGAACCTGACCAGTGAAGGAGCACCAGCTACCTTCTCTGGTCAGCCCTTCCAGAGGGTGAGTACAACTGTGAAAGATCTTGTAGAGGCCAAATGCACCTCCTAAATGGAGGGAACTGCTAGCAGGGAGCATTAGACAGACATAGCCCTGTACAAGGATGTCTTACCATAGGCATTTGTTTCATTTACACCACACGTTTTGGAATTACTTATTTACTTACAAAATTTGTACCCCACCTTTCTATCCTCACAAGGGCCACCAAGACGGCTAACAATTTAAAACATACATGATAAAATCACGTTTTAAAACAATTAAAATCAACCGCCATGTCATTAAAACAAATTAAAAACAAAGTTAAAATATGTACAAAGACATAAAAACAGCAATTAAAACACTGGTCAGGAAGAAGAAGAGGAGGAGGAGGAGAGTGGATTTATACCCCGTCCTTCACTCGTAGTCTCAAAGCAGTTTACAGACTCCTTTCCCTTTCCCTCCCCACAACAGACACCCTGTGAGGTAGGTGGGGCTGAGAGAGCTCTTTCCAGAACTGTCCTTGAGAGAACAGCTCTGACAGAACTATGGCTTGCCCAAGATCATCCAGCAGCTGCAAGTGGAGGCGTGGGGATATTATGTCTAACAAGAAAGGGGACCTGCGATACTCGCGGGGGGGGGAAGAGCTCCAGGCAGAGCAGGAAGAGGAGGAAGCAGCAGCAGCAAGTAAGCTTCCCCCCCATCCCCACCGATTCCCCCCCCAG